AAAAAACTGTGATTCGGTGAAGCCACAATAAGTGAACCACAATATAGCTAGGGACAACTGTATGCTTTTTTCTAAACTTCATTTAAGATAATTCTCCCACAACAGTGTCTGGGAAGAAGGTAGGGTAGTTTCCCCAAGGAGCAACAGCTAGCTAAGGTGAGATGTGATTCAAAATTCATCAAAACCCTCATATTAGAAAAGTTTTGTGAGACTACATTTAGCAGTGATTTCTTGGCCATGACACCAAAAACACAGGCAATAAAAAATAGATAAACCAGACTTCATCAAAATCAACAGCTTTGGGCCATCAAAGTCCTCTATCAACAGTGAAAAGACATCCACAAAATACAAGAAAACGTTTTTAAATCATATGTCTGATAAGGTGTGGAAGACCACCTGGATGGCTCTCCTTGAAAGAGCATTTGGCCCTGCCTCCGTGTATTGGTATGTAAAGAGCTGGCTAGGACATTTCCTTACCCCTCAGCTGGCTTTAAGCAATGCAAATGGATCTAGCAGAGGTGCTGATGCGTAGTCTCTGAAGCAAGGTCAGTGATGCCCCGCCCACAGCTCCCAAGTAACTTGTGTGAACTAGGCTAAGAGAGTCCACACTGTCAGCTGAGAATGAGCCTCAAGAAGAGGCTATGACTTCTCAGAGCTTGGACGACACATCCAAACTGAGGCACCAGCCCCAAAACACTAAATACTGCTCCAATCTGTGATATGCAGATTCTTCTTCCTGCATCTCTCTCTCTCTACATATTGCAGAGGTGATTTCAGACCTCCTACCTAGCAAAGCTCACAGCACTCACATACTTTCCCGCCATTCTCATAGCCACTCATCCTCCCCTCTTCACGAATTAATAAAACTCGGGTTCAGCCATGGGTCGAAGCCTTTGCTCCGGTTATCCATTACTCTGACTGGACCTAGGACTCCTTCCCTCCCTACAATTACAAATATGCCTTAGTATCTTTATTCTCACCATGCATTGCACTGGAAGTGGTAGACTGGAATTAACTTATTAGAATTCCAACAACTTTTCCATGGGATTACAAATGTGAATTCCTCTGAACCATGACATGGTCCAAAAGGGCTTTCTATAATAAGGGATTAATATCCAAAATACATCAAGAACTCCTATAATTCAACATAAACAAAGAAACCTAATTTTAAAATGGGCATGGAAATTGAGTAGACATTCATTCTGTGGGACAGCTCAGCAGTAGAGTTTTTGCCTTGTATAGGGCCCTGGGTCCAATCCCCAGCACTGAAAAAAGATGTCCAACAAGCACAACATCACTGATTATTAGAGAAATGCAATAAAAACCACAATAAACTGTATCACCAGCATTAGAACAGCTATTATTTGTGAAAAAACAAAAAAATGAGGGCTGACAGGAGTGTGAAGAAACTAGAGACCTTAGACATTTAGAGGCTATGGAAAACAATAAAGCAGTTCCTCAAAATATTAAAAATGGAATTACCATATCACCCTGCAATTACATTTCTCAGAGTACACCCAGAAGAACTGAAAGCAGGGTCCCAGGCAGATATTTGTACATCCATTTCACAGCACCATTATTCACAGTAGCGAAAAGCTGGACACCCCTCAAACATCCATCAACGGATGGCTAGATAAGCAAATGTAGTTTACACATCTAACATTTTGCCTTAAAAGGGAAATTATGACACATGCTACCACACAGATGCACCCTGAAGACCTTATGCTAGGGAAATTAGCCAGTCAGCAAGACAAAAGCCTTAGGATCCCACTCTGGGGTGGTACCTGGAGTAATCAAATTCACAGAGATGAAAAGCAGGGAGAGGGCTTAAGCAAAGGCAGTGGCAGTAACTGTTGCCTGGGTGCAGAGTTTCATTTTAAGGAAAAAGTTCTATGGGGGCTGGGGATATAGCTCAGTGGCATAAGCACCTGCCTGGCAAGCGCAAGGTCAGGAGTTCAATCTCCAGTACCACAAAAAAAAAAAAAAAAAAAAAAAAAAAGGAAAAAGTTCTACAGATAGATGGTAGCAGTGGATGCACAGCAGTGTGAATGTGCTCGATGCCACCAAACTGTGCATGTAACACTGATTAAATGGTAACGTTTATGCTATGTGTTTTAACCACAACAAGAGAGAAAGAACCAAAGATCAGCCGACATTCAGACTCAAAATCCCCAACTCACCTCCTCCTTCCGCTACACTCCAGCCAAACTCCTTCTGCTGATTCTCAAGGAGAAAACTGTAAAACCCTCTGAGATATCCTTTTCGGTTTTTGTGAGGAGGATATGTACAGACTCCTTTGAGAGGATGATAACAGGTATTATCTCCCCAGAAAAATGCCCCCCTTACCCACAAACATCCTCACACACATACAGGCATTTGTGTACAGAGCCGAGGGGTCACAGACCGAACTCAATGTCCATCAAAAGATGACGGAGTGAGCAAAATGTGGTGTAAGCATACAACATACTCTAAGGGCCGAAACAAGGAAATCCCTCTCTAAGATAGCCTAGAGGAGGAATGTGGAGGTCTCCTTGCCCCTGGGTTTTGTTCTCTTCTCAGAGTCCCCTAAGGTCCACATGTACCTGATGGCGGGTGTTGTACACCTTGTCAGCAGCTAGTGTCACGGGCAGGTCGAGCAGAGACAGGAGGGTGAGTCGAGGTGACACGCTGAACATGAAACTGTACAGCCCCACCACTTTCACCAGGCTCCGGAGCATGACATTGGCATTTAGCGGAAGCCAGTTGCTCATGAGGGAGGTGTCCGAATTCAGCCGGGAGTGCAGCTCCCCTGGCGAGGACAGAGCAGTGAGGAAACCGTGCACACTGCACAGCAGAGGCCCAGAAAGTCCTCCTGAACGTGCCCAGGGACAGGGCCCCACCTCTAAATCTCCGCCATCGCCTGCACAGCTGTGGGCACTTTGTCTGTGCTCTGTCCCAGAAGACAACGTGAGGCCCCAGCGAATGGACAGGTAATGGAGGGACAGGGATGGCCGGGGGAATCCCAGACTTGGCCCCCGGGCCCCACCTGTCTTAGTCTCCTGGAAGAAACCGAGGTCCTGACGCAGCAGGGAGGAGAAAAGCTTCTTGCGGATCCGCAGGTTGATTCTGGACATGACGTAGGTGAACAAGCCTCCTCGGCAGCCTCCGGACAGCGAGCTGTGGGTCAGGAGGAGAGAGAAGCAGGAAGGAGAGGGCGAGACGCACAGGAGAGGCAGGAGAAGCAGAGGACAAAGCCAGAATTAAATAAAATATAAAAGCAGAGAGGCAAACCATGAATAAAGGGAAGCAGGGGACAGACAGAGAGACAGAAACAGAGAGAGAAGAAATGGCACACACGGTGACTAGATGTGGGAACAAACTTCTAATAGGTAAACACCCACCAGTACTCGTGGAATTCCTCCTGTGACAGACACAGGGGGAGAATCACACAGAACTGCCGAGAAACAGCCCAGGGCCTGCGTCAAGCCTGGCCTCCCAATGGGCTGACCCCCTCCGGCCTCTCCTCTGTCTTGGTCTCTATTCCTCCCGGCAGCAAAACCCTCCTTTACAGTCACAGGTACTTCATTATGGGACCCCAAAGAACTCCCTGACCTCCCATTCTCCAGCACTCTAGAGCCATGCTGACCCTTTCCTTCGTCCTTGGAGAATTCTTCTCAGACAAATCAATGTTTTGTGATAAAATTTAAAGATAAAAATATAGAAAAGCGTAAGTCATCCCTTTGCATGACATGAGATTCTAATGCCAATTTAGTTAGCATAGTTAAAAGTCCTTTGCGACAATCACGCATGAGCTCATGAGGGTTCTGGACTCTGGAGATCCCACGAGATTGGAGAGAAAGGACACAGAGAAACGTCTTCAAGTAGGAAATGGCAGGGCTGTGTCTGGGTGTGGGGAGACACCGACAGTGCTGATGCTTGGAGCCAGAGATACGGAGGGTTTTGTGAATCAGAGTAAGAGGAGGTCTCGTTCAGGAAGACCAGGGTGAGATGGGTTTGGAGTCCGGGGTGCAGGCATGCGAGGTAAGAGCAGGCTATGTAATAGGAACACCGAGGGGACAATGGCGTCACAAGATCGAGCTCGGCATGGAAACGTGGATCTAGGAATCACCCACAGAGCTCAACTGAGTTAGCTCAACAGGAAAAAATTCTGTCACAGATTAATACAGAAATGAGCCATAAAGAAAGTCAAATGGAAGGGTCCAGAGGTAGAGAGTTCTCTACGGGAAACTAAGCAGGTCAGAAAAGAGAGATTTCATAAAAGCTAACTGCAGAAAGATCAATAAAGGAACAAAATGCTACAGAAAGGCCAAAAAGAACTGAGGCCTCACTAGGAGAGGAATGAGAAAAGAAACAGCGGATTGGTCAGTAAAAAGGTGAAACCTGAGTAGCCAGTTTCAGGGGAAAGAAGCAAGTCTGGAAGGAAGGCATGAGCAGGCGCACATTTTTGTTTGGTTTTGTTTTCTCTTTGCAGCGCTGCTGTTGAGCTCAAGGCTTTCCGACTGAGATACATCACCTGCTCCTTCTCACTTTCTTTTTTTTTTAACAGGGTCTGCCTAAGTCACTAAACTGCCCCGGCTGGGCTCTAACGGGCAATCCTCCTGGCTCAGCCTCCTAGAGTGCTGAGACAGAACACAAGCACTGGTTTCTGGGGACGTTCAAAATTAACACGGCCTGAAAAGGGGCGGCGCCCGGCTGGGGCCCATTGAGGCCAGGGGAGTGAAGACCTCCTTCAGTCTGCACACCAGCTTGTGCACTCACCTCCTCCGGGGCCCAGTCCAGCCAGCCAGCAGGCCCCTGAGTACAGCTAAAATGACAGCGGGTAGCAATTGAAAGCCAAGAGTAAAGTTGCCGGAGAGAAGGCTCGGTGGGTCATAAGCTCCAAGTAAGAGCTTCTGGGATTGGCAAAATGGGTGAGGAAGGAAAGGGTCAGGGAGGAGGGACGCCCGCCCTGCCAAGAGAGGTCTGAGGAGCCGCTGTAGAGAGGGCGCAGGGTCGGGAGGCACAGGAGAGAGACTGATTTTCATGGAGACAGATGGTGAGGGGAGACTGAGAGACTGCCTTTGACGGCGAACGCCTTCTGCATCACACACCCACACGGCTGCTTGGGTAAGACAAACTTTAGAATACACGCTGTGAGCTTTAGGGTGTTGGATAAATGTGAATAAAGAAATGAATGGGCAGGTAGAACAGCACAGGCAATAAATACAACACACTTCAGTTCCGGTATTCTGGACTTCCTGCACAGTGTCGGGGGCTCCGCTCAACACTCGGGGCTCGGGAAGGGCCCCCCCTGCTCATCACCTACCTCCCAACGGAGAGCAGGCACATGAGGAAGATGGCGCTGGCAAAGGCATCGGGGTCAAAATCACCCCCCAGGATGTCGATGACGCGGCCAGAATAGTGAGGGATCAGCATCCCCACTGAAAGAGGAAAGAAGGTCCCCAGGTGCCCGCGCTGGCGCCGGCGTCTTCTCCCACCGCCGCTCCCGGGCTGCGCCCCACACTCACGCAACTCGGCGGCCGCCAGGAAGAAGAAGGCGCCCAGGAGCCAGGGCAGGTCGGGCCTGGAGAGCTGCAGCAGCCGCCACATCAAGACTTTGTTCTTCTCCTGGCCCGGCTCCGCGTTCCGGGCCCCTGGGGCGTTCATCAGAGCCCACAGGGCCCAGCCTAGCCCTGCAGCCCCGTAGCCCAACAGCAGCCAAGCCCAGGAGGCCCAGGCCACTCTGACCGGGGGTGCACTCAAGGTCCCCCCCACCAGGGCTCTCAGCGAGAGGAACAGGGGGGTCGCCAGGCAGAGCGGGGGCAGCAAGGCCCCCCCAAGCCGCAGCAGCCCTCCCTGCCTTAGCAGCCCCCACAGCCCTCCAAGGCGCAGGGCGCCCTCCAGCCACAAGCCCAGAAGCCCTCGGGGAAGCAGCGCCCCCAGAGCCCCCCGGAGCAGCCAGAGTAAGGCCAAGTCCAGCAGCAGCAGCGAGGCCCAGGGCCTCGGGTCGGGGAGCCGCATGGCGCCCGGGATCTGCGGGGAGAAGGTGAGAAGTGAGGGGTGGCCCCGGTCCCGGTCAAATCCCCTGGCCCGGTCCCCCCCGCACCCTCCACCCTCCACTCTGCCAGCCCGCGGACCGGGGAGCCCGGCGCACCCAGCCCGCTGCCTCCACTTCCTGGGCCCATAGGGACAAGCAGTGTGGGGCGAGGGGGCGCTGCGCCCCGCGTGCGCTCACGAACTCACCGCGGCGGGACTGCCACTCCGGGCTTCCGGGCCAGAGCTGCACTGGGAGCCAGATCGCTCTCCTCCTCGTTCCCCTCTGGCTCCCGCAGGCTCTCTCGTCCCGGCCTCGCAGCTTTCGCTTTCGCTTCCCAGCCAGAGCTGCGCACCGAAGCCCGCGGGGGCGCCCGAGACCTGCGCACCGGAAACCTGCAGCCCCAAACCAGCCGGCGCCCTGGGTCCCCAGAGAGGCTCCCTCGCACCCTCCTGCCGGTCGCTCTGTGCTGTAAGACTGCAAAGCGTTTCAGGGACTGAGATGCTTCCTAACTGGGAACCACTGGATTTTCTCAGTTGCTGCCTGTTTTAATAAGCGCCCCTTTCGCCCAGCCAAGATCCAGTTTTAGGGTCCTGGAGTAAAGGAGCCAGACCTTGGGTGAGACCCTGTGCTCATGTGTGCGCTGGGACCCAATGGGAATCCCCTGGGCGCGCCAGGGAAGTGCCCGGTACTGCTCGAGTTCACCCTGAAGGAACAGCAGGTGGGATTAGATTGCTCTGGGTGAGAGCCTGCCCCCGGTTTGCAGAGTTATTCCACAAATGACTTCCGGTTAGAATTACCTCACAAACTTAAAAAAGAAATCCCGAAGGGCTCGCTGCTTGGCTCTCACACCAGCCTTTGCAAATGTTGTTGGCGTAGCTCCCAGGGCAGCGGCTGAGGGGTGGGGAACCGAAGGGAGGATTAGCAGATCGCTAAAACGAATCCAGTGCCATCCTCTCGGGATGGCAAGGATCTCCCCTAATGGAAAAAGCTCCACACTCAGCTGCTTCCAGTGGTCAGACGTCACCAGAGAGGTGACACAGCCCACGTCCCTTCCTGTACCCCTTCATGAGTCAGAGAATTTCATTGTCTTTTTTTCTAATGTAGATCTTTGACTCTTTCCTCTTATTCTCCACTTCTGGGAGGCCTGTTTGGGTCCTTTCCTCTTCAGTCAGAATCTGACCCTGACATCCGTTCAGTGTCCCATTATCCAGGGTGTCGTTTGAGGTAAACAGCAGAGTATTCGCAAAAACCACACGTAAGGGAGGTGGAAGCTTCTCCATCCCCCTCCACAAAGTCAAAACTCGCTGTCGGTGTCCTGCTCCCAGTCTCGCAAACCATGAACAATGGACCACACCAGAGTCTCCAGATTATGTCTCTGTGGCAATGAAGCTACAAATATGTGTCCAAAGATGACTAGGAGATGAGTATGGAAGAAATACACACGAATAAATATTTGGTGAGGCCAGTTGTTTTTGGTTTGGTTTGGTTTGGTTTCTTGAGACAGGGTCTTATATATAGTACTGGCTGGCCTAGAACTCATGACCTGTACCTCAGGTTCCCGAGGGCTAGGATTACAAGCCTGAGAAGGACTGGTAGGGCCTCATTTTTTCTTTTTCTTTTGCTTTTTTCTTTTTGTCTTTTTGAGACAGGTTCTCACTATGCAGTTCAGACCGGTCTTAAACTCACTTTGTAAGCCAGGTTGGTCTCAAACTTGCAACAATCCTCCTGCCTCAGCCTGCCGAGTGCTGGGATTACAGAAGTGCTCTCCATGCCCAGCATTCCTTTCTTATGTAGATGTCTGAGTTATTTCTCAGGGAAAACCTCTCTTGATTTCCTGCCCCCCCCCAAAAAAAAAAAAACTCCTCCATGTTTTTTAACCCACTTAGCCACACCAGGAGCGTTTATAACCGTTTTCCTTTATTGTGCTTAGCGGGGCACCAGAAGGCTCCCAGGGGAGATGCTCATTGAAAGGAGAGTGCAGAAATGGGTGACCATGGCCCATGGTCATCTGCTGCTGGGCATTCTCTATCTTGGCTGAGACGGAAGGTGGTCCAGGTCCCTAAGTCTGGTGGCTCTCCCACCGGAAGAGGCCTGCACAGCCGACGCCACTGCTACTGATCAGCCTCCAGGTACTGGTACAGCATGTCGCTGACGTCTGTACTTTCCACTTTCACCCAGCCGTCTTCCTTCATGTGGTACACTGCGGACGAATGAGCAAACACCAAGGTCCGGTGACCAGGGTTCTGGTGCAGGAAGCAACAATGCACGCAGGCACAGAAACACACTCTAGCCCCTCCCTACTGGGATTTCCAGGCCATTCTTGACTCTAAAGACCTCCTCCCTGCCTCTCAGCCTCCCAGAGCTCCCTCCACAATCTCCCTCAACCCTTCCCAGGCACGATGGGCTCCTTGTGTCTTACTATTGACGACGCCTCCAGAATAGCTGTCTCTGTGAGTGGCATGAACAATAGCCCTGCGGCCGAGGTCATAGGCTTCTTCAAGGCTGAGGTCGGGCCGATAGCCACTGTCCAGGACCCCGTAGGCGTAAGTGTTCCCGCTGCCAGTGGAGAACATGTGTCCTGAGAGCCGGGTCCCGTTTTCATCCACATAGTAGAGGCCTGGGCCCTACAAGACGGAAGAGGTTTCAGGATGAATTTGGAAAGAGATTTATTGGTAACATAAAGAGGTTCAAGGGTGGGTCATGAAAACTGGACACAAGAATGAAAACTACTACGGGAGCATTTGACTTAGGACAGCATTTTGGGAAAAGCTAGAACTTTAGAAATAACAGGAGAAACCAAATGGATGCAGCTATTTTAACAAAAGGAGCTGCTTGTCCATGACATACAATGGTCTCTAACTGGACCGAGAAATAGACACACACACACACACACACACACACACACACACACACACGGGAAAAGTTGCAGAAACAAGTGCTCTCTCTTTGGGATATCAGGTCGGGGTGGGCGTGGGCGGATCCGATGGGGATGAGATCTTTCATCCCTGGCTGAGGAACATGGGGAAAGGACAGCACCCACCTTCTTGTCCCAGCCACAGATCATGCTGCCCATGGAGAGCCCCATGCCCCGGTATGGAGACACCATGTTGGCGAGCAGCTTGGAGGCAGCCGACACGGAGATCCGCTCCCCGTTCCGCAGGTAGTACAGCCTGGGTGAGGACAGGGCAGAGGAAGACTTAGAGGCGGCTGGAGCAGGTTAGCCCTCCCACGTGATGGGGCAGGAAATGACTGGAGACATACACACTTGAAGGAATTGTTGCGTTGACTCTAAGGAGCAGGGAAAGATTTAGAATGTGAAGTATCTAAACACACAAAGAAAGCCTAATAAATGGGACTGTCCCACCGGCACTGATGGCCTCCATGCTAAATATGACAAAGTGTCTGGTCTGAGGGCAGGAACACACACTGAGATTTGAGAGGGGGCTTTTATTACCCAGAGGCTGCTTTGTGAAGTACTCTGTGAGCACTGAGACGGACCCACAGGGCAGAGAAGGGAAGTACAGAGATTTGGGAGACCCAAGAATCAACCAGAAGGCTGAGAAAGGGACACAAGAGGCGTCACCCACCTACACTCCTTGGCCAACAGCCGCTCCCAGTACTGACAGTCAGCGGCACAGCCAGACATGGTGCCCAGCAGGTAAGGGTTAATCTCGATCACCTTGTTCATCCGGACGGTGGCTGGAAGAAGAGTTTTGAGACAAGAGCACTGGCCCGCAGTTCTCCCCATGTGCCTGTAACAACATCTTCCTGGGCCTTGGTGGGGACATTGATATCGTGCTGGAAGGAGGGCCAGTGCCCCAGACTCTGCTGCTGGATCCCACACACTCACCAATGTAGCTCCCTGCCGTGGCCCGAGAATCCACAGCCACAATCACCCCATGCTGGAACTTGAAGGCCAGCGTGGTCGTGCCGTGGGCCACCTCTAGCTGAACGTTCCTCTCTCGGTCCCCACCCAAGGACTGCAAGAATTCAGCGGGCTGAGGAGAGAGAAGAGGCAGAGGAAGAGGCCAGGACCACTTGTGCAGCGGGATCTCCTCCAGAAAAGGGGTGTAGAGTACATGCAGGTGAGGAGATGGGGAAAAGTTCTCTAACATGAACAGAAAAGTTGGTAACCAATTCCAGAAGGAACTGTGCTCTGAGAAGGAAAGAGGCTCATGGCACCAGCGTCTCCCACGTCCAGTGCCACAGGAATGGAAGGAAGCAAATGTTAAAACGGCTAAAGAAGTTCTAATTGGCTTTAAGGGTTTCTCCATTCATACTCACCCAACCCTCACAAAACACCGTTTACTAACTGAAACTAATTTTGCGGAAGAGGGGCTGCAGACCAGTGCTACATGACTTGTCTGGGTCACAGCAGTGAACTGCTGGGGGGAAGGTGGCCGGTAAAGTAGGTGGGTCTCCCCAAACAGCGCATAGCCCCTACCACGACCCCGGGGAAAGGATTCTGAGTCTTACCTGGTGGAGAAAGGGCTCTCTAGTATTTATTAGTGGCCCCACCCGCTTCCCTGAGATTATCCAGGCAGGTGACACGTGGGAGACCCCTGCCCCACACACACACACTCCACTCTAACTGCTTGCCTCAATCTGCACTTTCCTGATCCTCCAAGCCACATGGGCTCCGCCCTGGCCGGGCCCTGAACCGCTGGCGTCCCAGGCTCGGGCAGGGCAGGCTCAGAGCAGACCCCCGTCCCTCTGCGCCCCCTCTGCCCTCACCTGCATCCCCCTGGGGACGGCGAGCTCCGGAGCGCGCGCAGAGAAACCATAGTGTCCCGGGTCGGATCCCCGCGCGCTCCCCGCAGCCCCAGCTGCAGCCGGGCCGGCCCAAGCCCGCGGGGCTCCGCACACCTCCAGCAGCGCCATGATCGCTCCGCGCCGGGACTGCCACCCTCGCCGGAGGAAGTGAAAGCGAAAGCCCCGGCACCAGGGGGAGGGAAACAGAAATTTTTCCACATCCCCCTGCCCTTCCCGAGAAGAGGCCGCAGGGTGTCGGAGCCAGGAGTGTCCCGCCGGGGAGGCGGGGACCCGAACTGTCTGGAGGAAGGGGAGCGAGCCCCGCAGAGCCGAAGCCGGGCAACCCCCCGAGAGCGCCGGGGAGGGGCGCCCTGCCACCCCCAAGCGGGCTCAACCAGAAAGCGGGCGTCCGCGAGGGGGAAGGGACAGGGCCAGTTTCACAGCGCAGTGGGTGCTGCGGACGGGGACAGTCCTCGCCTCGGTTCCTTTTTATAAGATCTGGGGACAGGTGAGAACCGTGGGAACCTCGCATCCCCAAGACCGCTCCTGGGACGACCGGAAAGCAGCGCACCCCAGCCTGGGAGGAGAGGGGGCGCCAAGGAGAGGGCGCGGGCTCTGAATCCTTCCGCTTGGTTTTTCACGGGGCCCCTCGCGGCTCAACGGTCTCCCCAACCCGAGGCCACCCACAAGAACGCGCCCTTTCTGCCCGCCCCTCCTCGCCCGGTGCCCGGCTCCGTGAGCGCCGCAGAATTGAATTGTCTAAACGCCGCCTCTCTCTGCAACCTGTTGTGTCCTCTTCTGCCCAGCAACTGTTAACGTCACACCGCCCTAGCCCTCCCTGAATGGAACAGATGTAGATAGCCCCACCCATTTCCCCTGAGAGGACCCCGGCCGGGAGGCAAGGGAGCTGGGTGAGAAGGCATCTGAGCCATCGGGAAGGGTCGCTGGCAGCCCCTCCGGCCACGTTTTGCACTTTCTCCAGCTCCCTGGGCCTGTGGGCCGCTGCAAGGCCAGGCTCCAGCTACAGCTGCTGGGGCTTTCCTAGCACCGCTGTCTGCTCTTGGCCTTGGAACTGGCCTGGAAGGGTGGAGCACAGGTGGGGCCATAGGAAATAGAAAACTACCACTACGAAACACTGCAAATGCTAAAGGAAGGAGAAGTCAGCGCGCTGCTGCGAAGTGCACGGAGCCCTTTGAGGTGCCGGAAATAGGAGAAACCCCGGTGCAAAACACCAATTTTATTATAAATATCAGGATCCCACAGCATAGTAACGAGGCAGCATATGCCTTTGGTCACGCTGAGAGCAGCGGGTCTTCCCTCTCCTCTCTCTGTGTTCGGAATATTTCTTCACCTTCCCAGATCGTCGTCTTACACCGAAGCATCCACCAGGTCATAAAGCAGTGTATACACTGAAGTCTGCATTATCAAGAGGCGCTGAGGCAGGACCTTAGCACTTGGCCAACTTCAACCACAGCAGGCGGTTGCGTGCAACTCCTCCAGCAGCAGGCAGCTGCCTACTCCTGCTCCTCAGCAGGTGAGACCTCTGCTCCCAAGTTCCGCACCCCGAGAGCTGGAGACAGTGGAAGGAAGGCAGCGTGCAGATCCAAGCAGCCTTTCATTCTGGAGCGCGCACAGGGCCCTGCACCATGTCCCGGTAGCAGCCCCCCTTCTCCATGAGCTGCTGGTGGGTGCCCCGCTCACAGATAGCGCCTTCCTTCAGAAACAGGATGTGGTCAGCCTGCTCCACCAAGCTCAGCTGCTGGGTGATGAGAAGCACCGAGCGGGAGTGGCGCTCGGGGCTGCTGTAGAGCACCCGCTGCACCTGCGAGGAGACACGCACACCCGGTCAGGGCCCCGTCCACCGGGCCACGCCAGCCCTGCCGGCGACGCCAAGCGCAGCGCAGAGGCCTGTTCTCTGCGCCTGTCTGCCGAACTTTGTTTTGCTAAGGAAGGCTTTAAGGAAACATCACTTCGTAGTAGAGACGTCAACACTCAACTCAGCAGGCCTGCAGCTGGGGCAGGCTCTGCTACCTGACATTTGAGCAGATCTTCAAGCTCTTTGGTCAGCCAGGCGTGGTGGCGCACGCCTGTAATCCCAGCACTTGGGAGCATGTGTAGCACAAGGACAACCTCACTTAATATCAACAGTATTAGAACAGTCTTTGGTTTCTGTCTGGCTTTCGAGGTTGAGAGTCACTATCAGTTTGGGGTCCCCTGGGGAAACGCGAAGGGGCACTGAGAACTCCAAGGACCAGCTGAGATAATGATGGTATTGATGTAACGAACACAGGCTGAGGACAAACAGATTCAGTGGGGTCCAGGCACTAAGATGACCACCTCTTACCTGTGACCGATGGTTCACATCCAGGGCACTGGTGGCATCATCCAGGATGAGGACACAGGGTTTCCTGACCAACGCCCGGGCCAAAGCCACTGCCTGGCGCTGGCCTCCCGACAGCTGGTTCCCACCCTCGCCCGCATCTGCAGAGAAAAGAGCCCAGATGAGATGTGAAGAGCCACGTGTGGGCTTGTGAGTGTGTGTGTGTGTGCGCGTACGCGCACACACACACACCAAGGCTGATGGATGCCGCTGTAGGGGGAAGGTTGTGGGGAGGTGGATGGAGCTGGGGAGGCGGATGAAGAAGCCATGGGAGCACCACCTGACAGCTTCCGACGGTGCCCATGGAGCGACAGAGGCAAAACTGCGGGTTTCGGTAACGAGAAGCTGTCCGGGCGCAGCGCTGCGCACCTGTGTCATAGCCCTGAGGGAGGCCAGAGATGAAACTGTGGGCGCCGGAACTCTGCGCGGCAGCGGTGACTTCTTCCGGCGTCGGCTCCTGGGTCAGGCCATAGGCGATGTTTTCTCGAAGACTTCTTCCAAACAGCAGAGGCTCTTGCCCCACGGCAGCCACCTGCCATGACATATGAGGAACAGAACGAGGATTCGAACAAGGAATGCTGGGACATGGTTATCTGGGGACTGAACACTCAAAATTGAGAGCAAAGCAAAAAACTCACACGTCCTCTCCTGACCCCACTCCCATCCCGCCCCCCCCCACCCCAGGTCTCTACGGCCCCTGACGCTCCTTCCGCAAGCTCAGCAAGGATGCTCTTCTTCCTTAATGCCCCGCCCCGCCGCCTTCCCACTCACCTGTCTGTGCAGGTAGCGGTGCTCATACTGGGGAAGGGGCTCCCCATCCAGCAGCACCTGGCCCTCCGTGGGCTGGTACAGATTCTGCAGCAGGGCAGCCACAGTGCTCTTCCCAGAGCCATTGGGTCCCACCAGGGCTGTCACCTCCCCAGGTCGCAGGGTGAACGTCAACCCCTGGATGCCAGAGAATCGCAAAACAAGAGGCAGTTGGAGGCCTCCAACCTCGACATGTTCCCGTTCTGTTGCACTGACTGGTGTCGCTCCCCAGCAAATAAAGGAGCAGTGGGGAAATACAGCAACACCCCCCCAACGTCTAATACGATGTCTCCCCACACAGGAGGGGTGGAGGAGGAGCGAAGACAAGGGCGAAGTCAGGCACCGCTGTGCCACACACTTGACACCAGTTACCAACCCAAAGCTGAAAAAAACCACATTCCAAATCACGGGACGGGCGGGAGATGCCTGGGGATACAGAGCTCCTCTGTGGCCCTTCCTTGGAATGTGAGACCCATACATCCAAAGCTCTCTCCTGCTGCTTGGAAGCCCAAGCTTGAGTTTAGATGACATGAACGGAATGGGTGAGGTTAATGAGGACCTAGACTTGATGTTAAAGCAGGAAGCAGGAGGGAAGTTTAGGGGTCAGAGGTGAAGAGGGGTGCGTAGACCACAGGGATTGGTGAGCTGTACCTGCAGCACCAAGGCATCTGGATTGTTTGGGTAGGCGAAGGAGACGTTTTGGAACTGGACAAGGCCCTCCATGCTTGAGGAAGTCAGCAAACCACTGGGCGGGCACTGAGGAGTCCGATCCAGGTATTCAAATATTTCCTTTGAGGAGCCCACCGCCTTGAGTATCCGGGGGTAGTACAGCAGCAGGACCTGGGCGGAGGTGGGAACAGGGACAGACTTAACCAGCTTGCCAGCGTTATGCGCGTGAGAAGGTACAGCCCGGAAGGAAAGTGACGTAGGGAAGGATGGGACAGGGAAGAGCCAGCACCGCAGGGAGGGACCTCACCTCAAAAGCTGAGGTGAACTGCTTCTGGTAGAGAACAAATGTGACGAGCACTCCGCTGCTGATGGCCCCAACCGTCACCAGCTTCCCACCGACGTAGAAGATTCCCACATTCAGCAGCATCCCCGACACCTGGAAAGAGACCAACAAAGAAGAGAGGATTGTGGTTAAAAAAAAAAAAAAAAACAGAAACAGAAACAAAACAGAGTCTCAAATAGAGGAGACGCAAGACGAATGACGCGTTAAAGATATACGAAGTCCTTTCCTGCCAAATAACCGGAGCAGGCTTGGCAGGCAGGCAGCAAGAATGGCCCGCAGAGGAGCCACAAGTCCTCTGTATCTTCATCCCCAACACCGTTATCATTTTACTGGGGGGGAAATTTACTCTTCACAAAAAGCGTCCATGGAAATGGTATCAGCTGATACTCATACTAAAGGGTCCCTCTCCAGGAGGTGCTGTAATTCTCTTTTTAAAATGAGGAAAAGTCTCAGCAAAGGGTCTCACATTACACTGCTAGAGACACAGCTAATAAATGGCAGGATCAGGAAGCCACAGTTTCTGCTTTGGTTCTCGTCCCCTCGTCCCCAGCTCCTGGTATTCCCATGGCTCCCCTGGCACACCCACGCTGTACCAGCACAAAGCATGCCCACACGGGAATCTGAGGCTCCCTGAGCTGCCCCCGAGAGGCAAAGGGCTGGGAAATTGGGAGACATGGCACCTCTCTAATCCACAAGGTTGGGTGACCCTCATGTGCCACAGTGGAAGGAAGCCACCCAGCACCCGTAAAAAGAGGAAGATGGCTAAGGACACTGAATGGAGTCACCGAGCCACAGACTGCTGGGATGGAAACACGAAACCAACCACTCCACAGGGAATGGAGTCGGGGCATCCTTAGGGACACGGTCCAGGCGTTCACGTCCGAGTACTCACACTGGTGGTCCCGAGGTTAACCACATAGGCCAAAGCTGTTTTCCGGTTGAGCGCCTTTATTTCCTCCAGCCTCTGCCTGAACTTGCGGTCCTCACCATCCTCGTTGGCAAAGCTCCGGACTGTAGGCATAGCTGACAGGGCCTCGATGGCCACCTGGCTGGACATTGCCAGAAACTGGCTCTCCTCCTCTGCCAGGGACTGTGGAGACACAGACATGAGCTATTGCACGGCACTGGCAGCCACCGGGGCAGTAACAGCAGCGCTACCCAGCTAGAAATTCCAGGTGATAGAAGGTGCAGCGGGAGGATGGAGCAGTACGGGCACACTTCTGCCCCTGGACACTGAGGAGAGGCAGGAGAGAGGGAGAAGCCCAGAATGGGGGTGGCCTCCTATTCCTAAGTACCGGTGGTGGGCGGAAGTGAGAAGACAGAGAGTGTGGAGATTAATGTCGACGGCTGGGAACACGGACTACAGAGACCGAGTTCCCTGGAGCTGGAGAAACGGGAAGGTCCAGGGAAGTCATGCAGAAAGGAGCCTGTCAAGACTGGGCGCCGAGGCTCCGGGATGTACCTTATACCACTTTCCCAGCTTCTGGGGCAGAAGGAGCAGCAGGGGCAGGGCAGCCAGGTTGACCAGGGTGAGGGACGGTGACTCCCACAGCATGAACGCCAAGGGCCACAACCCTCGCATCAGGTACCACATCAGTATGGACAGCTGAGAGCTCAGAGACTCACACACACTGGCCGTGTCACGCGTCACCCGAGATGTGATGGCACCTGCCAGGGTTGGAAAAGAGTGGAAGGAATGAGACCGCTCTGGGGTGATGTGAGGCGCTGACCGAGCCGGGGTGCCAGGGTGGGGCCGTCCTCATGGTATTCTCAGGCGCAGGGACAAACAAGGCTAGGACTCGGGGTTGGGGACCTCAATGCAGGCAAAGGAAGCGTCAGAGAGGAAAAGCCTAGCCAAAGCCCTTCGTCTTAAACCTGAAGAAAGTAATCTGCATGTAATTTCCATTTGTCAGAATTTACCTCTTCCTAAAAAACTTGTATAATCCCTGCCGTACGCTAGGTGGACAGTGCGAACCAACCACCCGGCGGGCACGGGTTGGATCGGGCCGCTGGTCAAAGCCCGGAGGAGTCCAGGATAAACCCTACATTGGGACCAAGACGCTGGGGTTTAACCCAAGGTCTGTCTCTAGCCATGTGTGACCATGCAAATTTCAGCATTTAAGGTCTAGGCTTCTCAGGAAATGAGGCATTCGGACTTCATGAGCTCAAAATTCCTAGTTTTTAAATTCTGTAGTTTGTAAGAATACACAGGCCTAGCTTTACGGGGAATGCTGGATAAAAAGAGGAGGCTATTATTAAGGGAAAAAAGACAATATTTTGCTTCTACAGTGTATTAAGGTTAAATAACAATGTGTGCGTGGCAAATGTGTAAGGGAGGGAAGGAACTGATTGAGGCCGTAATTAAACGGCATGCATGGTGATATAAAGAACAGACCGACGTAAAATGAAAGGGTTCCTGTGAAACCTGCTTGATTCTTCTGGAAGAACTCCGTCTCCTGGCGCAGCACAGCCTGAAACACCTCACTGTGAAACCGGCTGGACAGGTGGCCCGTGGTGCGGTAGAACATGGCATCACAGGCGAACTCCATCAGCCCGCTGGAGAGAGAAGGCCGGGGGTTAGGATGCGCTTTCGGGAGAGAGCGGGGTACCAGGCATCCCTCCCAGCAGGTGTACACCTCCAGCTCAACCCCCAAGGTCCCAGTCCCAGGGCTCCCTAGCGCCAGCCAGACCTGGCTATGGTGATCATGGACATGACCACTACGCTCCTGGTGAAGGCAGAGGTTGTCTTGTTTTGTAGCATCCAGTCAGTGAAGTTGCCAGTGAAGACTGGAATGGCCATCTCCCCTGGGGAAAGACGAGAGGCCTGTCAGCTTCGACCCAGTCTGAGACGGGCCGCACTGCCACCCCCACGACGCTGGAGGCCAGGGGCAGAAAGAAAACAGGTCTCATCAGGTCCCGAGCCTGAAAAGCCCACGGGAACTCAACGCTGCTTGGCCCCATTGGACCTTTCAGGGGTCTGAGGAGCGACAGAGCTAGTGCAGAAGCACACCGTAGAGAGGAGACGCTCTGCCCCGGGGGCCCAGGGCAGCACGGAAGCCGGGGACTCGGGAGCTCACCCCGCTGGAGCTCTTTCCTCTCCACGGAAATGGTCCCCAGGACCTGGGCTCACCTCCTGTCTCCTGCTCCCCACTTCCCAGGACCCACACTCCTCCTCCTCTCCGATCATGACCCTCAGTTCCGGTGTCCTCCCCCTACACGTGCGTCCCCCTTACCCAAACAAGACAGGATCAGCAAAGCCAGGATCAGCGGGAGGCGGCGAACCTCAGTGCCCAGGAGGCCTAGAAGTCTGCACAGCAAGTCCCAGGCGCCGCCGCGGCCGCTGGGCACCCAGAGGCTCCCGAGCTTGTGCCACAGGGCAGCTGCGGGCAGCGCCGCTGCATAGCCGAGGACGAAGGCGTCGGGGCGGCTTCCCCAGTGCAGGGCTCTGCTCCCGGGGGCTCCCCCGGACACCTGCTGTCTGAACGAGGCAAGCGCGGGCAGGGCCAGGCCCAGCGCGGCTGCCAGCGGCTGCAGAGCCCCCAGCCACCCGTGCACGCGGGCGCCGACCGCTGCCCTGAGG